GGGGGGGGGGGGGGGGGGGGGTTGCGCTTGATGAAGGTGTTCATGGTGCGGCCCCAGAAGATGCGTAAGGTGCTCTTCAACCCATCAGGCGCGAGGTACCCCGAGAACTACCAAAGTGGAACGGAGCAGGACGCTGACTCTAGCTTCCGCTGCCGATTGCGGTACAGGATCAACACCCGTCGTAACCATTATCGATGCGCTGCTTCAGGCGTCGTCGCCTTCACGTGCCCCGCGGCTCTTGTCCTTGCCTCTAACCCCGGGGTCCTCGTCCTCGCCGCCTCCTCGACCATCGACGGCCTGGCAGTCTTCGCAGCACCGCCCGGCTTGGTCACTGCACCTGATGCAAAACTCGCGCCTTGTACACGCTCACCCGTTGCAGTGGTCGGCGGTGTCTACATCTCCCACGTTGGTGTCAATGCCACCGTCTTCGCCGTCGACGCGAGAGCTGCCGTGACCTTGGTCATCATCGGACGCGTCACGGTGTGCCTCCTATCCGAATGTGTGCCAACAAACGACGATAGGAATGCGGTCGGGAGAGCTGGGGGTAAAGAGGGCGAACTGGGGCGGCAAGTCGATGGGGGAGCTCGGAAAGATCCTGTCGGTGTTGCAAAAGTTCGTCAGCTGCCCGTTTCATTGTTCCTCTTTTCTCATGCGCTGTTGAACGGAGCAAAGAATGGGGGCGTACTGACCGGTGAGGAATGACGAGGTTACTTTATCCATGTCAACGCAAGGCGGAATCGAATCGTTTTCGGTCTCGTTTTCGAGAGAAACTGTGAGTTTCCGGTGGAGTTGGAATCTCACATGTAACTCCGAGATAGCATGGAGGAGCCGGCACCGGCGACATGCGGGCACACGTTGTGGAGAAAAGGCTTCCTGTAACAGTGTAAGCGTGGAGTGAGGGTGCCGTTGGGTTGGCGAACCTCCATAGTTGAGAATGTTCAACGAGCCACGGGAAGACGACATCGCCGCCCATGGGATGCTGTTGGCGAAGTTGCAGCGCGCGTGCTGCGAGGTACGAGATATGCCAGAGCGCTTCGAGATCGGCGCAGATCGTGCCGTGGAGCGATTTGGGTCGAGCGCTTGGGAGCTCCTGGGGTGAAGGGGCGTAGTTGATCCGTAACAGGTCCATGGTTATTTCATCGTAATATTCTGCGGCCCGACTTGTGTAGATGGCCAGAACGACGAGAAGAGGGTAAGATTTGGGGCGCAGGTCGTCATGATCTAGGAGGCCGGTTCATGTTCACGATGCTACGTACGTTATCATTTCGAAGAGACATACATGTCACCACGATCTTGAGACAGCTCTCCATCCCAGCCTATGTATATCGAGCTTCGTCTTGTCGGTGCCACACAGACCAGAAGATTTTGAACAGACAAGGTGGCATATGCATCAGATGAAATCATGAACCGTACTTAGGCGGGGTCTCAGCCGAAGCGCGGGGAGTGTAGGGCAGGCTTCTTCTGACAGCTGATCGCAATGACGAGCGAACCAAGAAGTGCGTACCTATGCTATTTACTACGAACAACGTGCTACGAGGCAATTTGAAGCGGATGAGTACTATACGAAATTCAACCTTCCAGTGACGAAGGGGATGATACGCATGCCCTGAATGGTCAATCTTCGTCGTCTGATTCTATGATCTCCTTCGACGGGAAGTCGCCGCCCGTCACCACCATGCCGGTCACTTCCAAACCCGCCATGACCACAGCGAAGGGCCAGCGCGGGTCAACGGTGGGCGGGCGAAGGATCCGGGGACGCTTTAGAGGCCTGTCCGATTCACCATCGTTATCTTTTCGAGGGCGGACTCCTGGGCGAACGACTTGCGGACATTTCAGCTCCCGCTGCATTCAAAATCGGAACAACAGGAATGAACGCTACCATTGGACGTGATCGCCACATTCGCAGGCTTAGATGCTTGTACACCTGGTTGAGCACGAACGATCGGGGCTGCTGGCTTCGCTCTGACGTTGGTCACGGGTTTCTGTGCACTCGTTTGAGTTTGTGCGGCTGGAGCCGGTGGTTTTGGTTTGACATTGGCTATGAGTATCGGATTAGCGCCTGACGTGGCTAAAGGCACGAAGCTGGTTGAGCCCCTTAGATCGATAGATTGACCACAATATCCGTATCGAGTAGGAGGGGCGTTGGCCGTTCTATCCACGATGCTGCGGGATAGTTGATGGCTTGGATAGGCGAGCAGTGCGTCATACGTACCTATAAGCTATGCATATTCTGAACAGGTGCGGAACCCGGTAAAAAGTGTTCAAAGCAGGCTGAATGAGCGCACGTACATCGAGCGGCTCTGCAGGTCCTCCTTCCTTGTTGCAACAATTTTGGGGCACACGTTACGAGCCAGGTCCTGAGGTACGACGGTGTCAAGCTGGACGTAGCGTCTTTGAACTGTCGGGATTCACGCACTTCCGAGAAAGGCCAGTAGAAGACCACTTGTCCTCCATCTCCGTGCCTGTCTTCGAAGAGACGAAGGGACTTAACCTTGGGGTTGGGTAGCCGTCCGAGGGCATTGAGGTCCGAAACGACCGCGGCATGACGCGCCTTGGCGTCGAGAGTCTTGAGCACCTGAAATCTTTCGAGCGAGTATGCAACGTTGACGGTGAGAAGGCCAAGATTCATAGGGCATTCCATGTAGGCAATAGTGGGACGTGGTCAACGCAGAGGAGGGCGCCGCTCTGGGCCCGTTTTTTGGTCATTGCGACAATGTCATAAATGACGGGTGCCTGACAACAGTAGCCGACGCGCCGACGTGCGACGACTCAGGTTTAGGGTAGGCCGTGACGCGTACCCGCGGTGGGTTCATCATTGTCGACTCAGAAATACTCGTAAGTACTCGAAACGAAGAGAAAGGTACATAATCAACGGTCAGCTACTCACGGAACGAAGATCAAAGCAACTATCACGATGCATGAAGGTGGTCAGGCTGACGCTATCCGGCTCCTGTCGTCCCGTCTTCTTCTTCCTCTTGTGGAAAGCTACGAGGGTTGGCGTCGATCAAGTCGGTAGGGATTTTGGTTGCTTGGTTACTGTGTCTCTCCAGTGACCGAACATGACACGGCATTCGTTTGCTGTTGAAATTGATATCGCAAACCTCGACATCTGCGCTAAAGACATAGAATATGATCAGCCATATTCAACCATTGGGGTACAGCTGTGTCTCTATCAGAGGTCATTCATTATGCACCTATCGTCATCGAAAGTGGAACAGGCCCTGGTCGAGCAATCGGCCGAATTGCCCCACGTGAACAATCGTCTAGCCAATAGAACCCTATTACTTGTGTCGAACAAGGCCACCAGCACGACTCGTTGTGGGATATCTGACTGCAATTCTGGATATCAAACTAAGTGGCACTTAATTCCGTGGCTTCTTCAGCGCGTAGACACTGTTGTGAGAGCCCCCGTGCTGTGGCCTCAATCTTTGTTTCACTGGCGTAGGTGTCTCAAACTTCAGGTGGCCTTGCGTGGTGTATATAAACCCAGGAATACACTCAGAGGGTAAGGTAAGCTCATCTCTTCTTCCTACGCGCGATCACGCGCGACCTAACTTAACTGTATATATCGAGGCTTTCGATAACTTATGACCGTCATGTCGAACACCCGAAATCAATACCAACACCAGCATCATGCTCAAAGCATGTGTCCACACCAAGCACAGGGTACCTATATGCAGATGATGTGCGATCCTGCCAGAGGAACAATTGAGCCAATGTGCGTCGTAGTGCGGAATCTATCCTCTTTTCTTACTCACGCACCTATGAAGGTTCACGCACGGACCTGTCCATGTGGGCGAGCAGGCGTTAAACAATAATACCGTCTGTTTCGCGAGACACGTTCTCGGCGGCACTCATCTATGTGAGGTACAGACGTTAGTACGCGTGAAGCCGCTTCTCGGGGTGCAACCGCAACCGAATGCATTGGTTCCGTACGAGCCGCCTGGTCCCATTCCCGTCCAAGGACCGTCTGCAAGGATTACACTGCCTAGACCTGATGTAAGAGCGCGATCGTCGTCGACGCTCTCCCGGTCGTCAACAATAATGCAGTCTGGATCGACCACCGACTCCGATGTCTCTAATCCCCGACCTCGATCATCGTCAATCTCTTCGATGTCGACAGCATCCACGCCCGAGCCTGTCACAGAACCTAGTACGGTTGCGAATGAAGGCCAGAGATTCCAGTATGTGTTCGCCCTTCCTGACCGTCGGTGTATATTCGAATGACACTGATCGTTCAGTGCACCTTCCCTGTCTGCTATTACCAGAGTATGCGACTGCGGATCATCATCTCACCGAAATATACCAATGCGACCGTTCCAGCTTCATGAAGAGAGCCTCCCCAATACACGAGATATCGTGCCCCGGTCGCGCAAGCCCATCAAAATGCTGCCTTATCCTCTGGAGCCTACGCGTCCTAATGTAGACGACGACGGAGAGTCCGAGCTTGACGAGCTTGACGACGCTGCATCCGTAGACACAAACTTTTCCGCGCGACAGTCGGATGTCGCGGCGAGGCGCCGGGCGCGGAGGCACCAGGCGGGTCATCCGTATAAGACTCCCAGTCGTGGTGGAAAGTACTGGCGATCGCAAGACATCCAGAAGAAGGGCGTGTACCCGTGCTGTTGGCCGGGCTGCGCGCACGTCGTCACTGACTACGATAGTGCGAGCGCGCATCTGGAGGAGCACATCGTAGCTCGGGAGACGTTGCGCGCCGCGAGGATACGGGAGGCAAACAGGAGACAGACGGACATTCATTTGGAGAGCCTGCTTGCTGGTAAGGTCGTGACGCGTCCCATAGTCGTATCGGACGAAGAGAAGGAGAGCTGCCCAGATCGGGAGATGGCCATGGACACGGACTTGGCGAAGGAAGAACATCAACCGAAGGTCAAAGAGGAAGAGGGAGAAGACCAGGAGACGACGCCCTTATTGTGTCCTCGCGAGGGGTGCATGTACAAGGGCACGTCGAAGAAGAGCCTGATGCGCCATCTCATGCGCGCAGACCACATGGGCGTGAAGATCGTGTGTCCCGGATGCGATGCGGCATACGCGAGGCCGGACGCACTGACTAGGCATCTGAATTCGCTTGAAAAGCAAGGAAATCTGGAAGATCATCTTGCTAATCGAACATGAAGCGTTCACTAGGACTCGGATTCGGATTCGGATTCGGGTAGACGGACGACGGACAATATGCAACGGACATGACTCACCTTCGACGTGCACACGCTCTTTTTCCCTTGGACACTATGCGTCGGTTATGCTAGAAGGCCTGCCTAATGTCTATGGCTGGTCGTTTTCGCTCATTTGCCATAGGTAAAGTGTATGTCAAACACCTAAATGACGATCATGATGCTACCCCTTGCCTGAGCCCCCCTCTCGACTACTTTGCCATGCGAGTTGCACGTGATTGAGATCTTTTCGGCCGGCTCCCCCGTGCGTCTTCCTCGGACTCTTCCGCTCTGCGCTGATTTCGTCCAGAAAGCGAACAAGGTCGTCGTCGTACTCATGGACGTTGGCTCATCGACCGTGTCAGGCATAACTGCATGCTTTTCTACGAGAAAACGGGCGTTTTTTGCTCCAGATATGCATGTACGTCGCCATTCCAGGGAATCATGTTCCTCTGGCTGACGGTTGGTTATCAGTGTTCTTCTGGCCACGGAGGCTGAGCACCTCGTGGTGCTGGTCATGGCCGCAAATACAAGGCGCCTCTTTGAGTGACGGCACGGAAGGTCGGCTAGCGGAGTTTTGACTCCGCATGCTAGCATGCCTCGAGGCTCATGGTCACCCGGGCTCTGCACGACTCGCCATCGACTTGAACGTTTCCCCGTACAGGACTGGAGCTATAGGGTTGCCCGTCTCTCAAATAACAATCATCGCGTTCCAACCTTCGTCATGTATTCGTCGATCCACGAAGGACGTTCGCCTTCCAACATGGCTCTATGCCCGGACGTTCGCCTCGGATCTTTGACACGGTGTAGGCGATGTGGTCACAGCTACAATGCACCCATCTTTGCCTTTGCTTTGCAACGTCAAAGAGATTTCTGTCTTTTGTCTTCGTGCGATAGCGAAAGACACTTGCGAGTTATGGCGTTCCATCTGGTATAAATTGCACGCTCTCCCGGTTGTCGTATGCTCACCGCTCGGTATCATCTTTGTTTCAGCTTCTCTCCCAATCCACTCTCATCCCCCCACTCACATCTCAAACATACATCCCAAAACCTTCGTATCCTATACAGTAGAGCGAAGACATGACCCCGAACGTGCCCGCAAAATCGTCCAGAGCCGGCCCTCGCAAACCGGACGCTTGGGGCTTAGCGATGTACGTCTCTACCGAGAAGTTTACATGATCGCATCGCTGACGATGTGCGCAGAAACGCAAACACCGACAGGTCGATGGGTCGGCCTCCGCGTCAAGAAGTCGCGCATGCGTCCCCCGGAACGGCCGACATGTCCACGCTCGTTCAGGCTGCGGTGGATGCACACCTTTCGAGGTAAAGCATATGTTCTCGCTCTTGTCTCCAGCCGCGCCTCTTTGCGCGCATGGCTTACTCAGCGCTAATCAAAACTACAGGAGTCTGGACCTCGCACTGGCGCTGGGGCCGATTGTTCCTGGTGAACAGCAGCCGGCCTCCCGCGGATCCATGTGTCACTGCAGCGAGCAGAACGGATGTCCTTCGAGGTAAAGCACGCTTCCCTCACCTTCATTGGTCCTGCTCTGATCATACGTGTGCCCCAACCTTGTGCAGGATTCTGCCTTTCGAACTTGCGCCTCCTCCGGCTCTTTCTCTCACTCAGCAGTCGCCGGTCACTGGATCCATGCCTGTTGGGACGGGAGGCTTCACGTATTCATATAGGTAAAGAAAACGACCTTGTTCTCCGTCATGTCCTCTCCGTCATTCTCGGGAGTGTTCATTCATTCAGTCGATATCCCTGCTAACCAACATCATCCAGAATACCTGTCCTCATGCAGCCGGGTCAATATATCCAGCCATATTTACCCGTGCCCTCTTACGGAGATGTGCTCTACTACGACACTCCCCAGAACGGCGGCGCTCCGTTTGTGTACCATCACGAAGAGCGCGCTCCTGAGCGTACGTGCTTTCAAGACGGGCGAAAACGGGCAAGGTCACCTGGGGATAGTGCTATGGGGTAGGCACGCCGCGTCGACTTCGTCATCATTTCATAATCTGATGCTTGTGATCCTCTAGCGTACCTCGCAAGCATCGTCACTGCGAGGCCATACCGTCCGCTGACAAGAACAGTGGGACGAATGACAGCATCAGGTGGGCACAGACGGTACTTCACGTTCACGGCTGGTTCACTGATCCGTGGTGTATCAGGTGGCCTTCTGAGAATCGTCCCCGAGACATGCCCACGCACGGTGAACGAAAAGCACCCAGCTTCCCAATCACGTAAGCTTGCTTTCTGCTTCCTCTTACAAGCAGCCTTTGATCCCTCTGCCGGCTCCAGAAACGTAGGCGATGTGCCCGCAGGCGTTGTTGAGAAGGGCAATCTCTCCCATATCCTCGACGGAGAATCGTCGGCGCCCTTCCCCGAGGACTGGTTGCCGCGTGGCGAGCCCTCGACTCATTCGGCGCGTCCCCGGTCGAGTGCTTCGCACTTCCCGCTGCGTGCTCGCGAAAGACATGCCGCTGCATTTAGCCCGGCGCCTCCCTTAGAGGCCCTGTATTCGTGCTGCTGGCCCGGCTGCGAACGCTACGTGGTCGACTATCAGGAGGGCGTGCAGCATCTCAAATTCCACATCGTGGGAATGAAAGCACCCTGGATGTGCGCGATATGCGAGAAAATCTACTCCAAGAAGTATGCCCTGGTTCGGCACCTGAAATTCAAGCCTCACTTCAAGCTGGAGTCCAAAAGGAACTGAAGCTGTTTGACCAAGGCGCGGCCAGGTCACAGTTTGGAAACATCTCAGCGCGAATAGACCCCGCTCTTGCCTTTCCTTTTGCGCTTCCTTCATCCAGGTATTACTTCCGCATCTCGATATGGACTGTCTCTCTCTTTCATCGTCTTAACATTCTCGACTACGCTAGTTTATTTTTGGTTTATCCTTGTCGCTCCCTACAACCCCCTCCTCGCCACGCTCATTTCCTCGGAATGGTTTTACCTCGTTTCGCTCCGCGTCATTCAACGACCATTCTGACGTCATTCACGCCGCTATCCGCTATCCGACTACTGACCACATTCCTTTGATTCCATTCTTACGTCGTTCACCCACCCACGCCTCTCTCCGCTATCTGATTATTACCCACATTCCTTTGTGTCTTTCTCTCCGACGCTACCATCACGTTCGCCGATGTACATGCTAGGCAAGAATCACTTATGTAGTTCCTTTGCATTCAATCTTATCTTGCTTTAGCCACTAAACATCCTACCATAATGTACCCTCTCAACTCTTGCCATCTGTACATCGCTACGCTTCCGCGGTCGTGTTCATTGCGGATCACACGCTGGACCAGCGACGCAGGTTTCTAAGCTATCCTAGTGCCACTTAACCCTGCTATAAATGTTCTTTGACAAAGCGGGGTTGCTTGTTTTCTGCATGTCATGACCTTATTGGTGACTCTCGTCTTTTGCTGGCAGCCTTGATATCGCTGCAAACCACAATCATGCGGTGCGGTGGTCCTAGACGCGAATACAAAGCGCCTTGGTTAAAGCGTGGTCCACCAGCTGGAGGAATCCAGCCACGTGGTACCGAACTTAGCGACGTCCACGAGAAGACTTCTTTCCTGTTCTCACTGCAACGACTCCAGAGTCTCCGACTCAACTCAATCGACATCCTATCGAGAACTAACGATGATTCAGGTTCCACGATATTTCTACGCTTCAACCGCGGATACGATTTGGACGCGGCCGGGGCTACTACGATAGTCAAGGCCACCGCAGCGCTGACTCCTCCGCTTTCGGGATGCGAAAGGACCACAAGACATCTGAACGGCTTTGTGCGAAATTGAATGCGACGGTTGGCCACTAGTCTCGTTCTGTGCTATATAACGCGCCCTTCGCGGGCCGACGTAACCTCACTGCACGCTATATCAACACTCTCAACTCGAGAACAACTTCCCCTGAAGCAGGCCGCTCGCGATCACAACAACCTTCACTTCGGCTATGCCGCTTACTCTATCTGCGAGTCATAACGGAGCCATGCCCGTGATCCTTTATCCTAACGCGTCCGCGGCACCTCCCTTGCTTCCCCTGATATATCCGACTTCTTCAAGTCGCCCCCGGTCCCGCATCGCCAACCACGGGAAACATGCGGCCCATAGACGCAGAACTGCTTCTGAACTGCCTCCTCCCCCTGGATACTCCTGCAGGCTCTGCAACAATGAATGGACGTGTCTACCCCGCCTCACCTCCACAACCGTCCCTCCTACGGTCCCGGATATAGGAAAACCCGCGTCAACGCCAGCCGCAACAGAATCATCGAATTGACCCTTGAAGACGCACGAACAGAGCCCCCGAGCTAGGCGATTCTACTCGTGGCCGGCCTTGGAGGCTCAGCTTAGGGAACACGGCGTGTCATGCGATCTGACTATCCCGTTTGCATGCTGTGGACAAGTCCCCGTCAACTATGCCGGCGCTCTCTCTCACCTTATCGGGCATGTCGACGGAACCTACAAGCCTGGCACGAACATGCCCTACTCATCCATCTATCCGCCTTGCGAGAATTGCGAGCTCGAGCACATTCTATCCAGCAGCCACGTTGGGGCGATGATCACCTGCCCCGGATGCCACGTGCAGTTCGCGCGAGCGGACACGCTGTTTTATCATTTGTTCCAGATCAAGGAGAGGGACGGCTGTTTGGAGCGGCATTTCGCCCACTGAACAACCGTTCAGGTGAATACATGGCGCTAAGCGCGCTGCGCCCGCGTTGACATGGCATCTGTACATGTACGAGAAGAAATGCGGTTCATTATAGCTGCATTCTGCGCGCTGAGCAGCCGGAATCAACGCGAAGGTCCGGCGCTGGTACACTGTGAACTCGTTCAGTATTCGGCCACCGTTATACATACCTTCCGTCGGGTGTCATCTACTCAACGTCGACTCACCTGGACATCATCTAGTGATCATTGTCTGCTACATCCATTCCGTCATATCACGTTTTCACGATGCCATCACTACCACACTCTTCGGTCTTTCTGGAACATTTTCCCCTTGTGCCACTTCTTCGCATCCATACGAGCCTCATTCAACCGCATAAATGCACACAGCTCCCCATAGCTTATCGTATATTGGACTTCATTTACTCACGCTTCCTCTGTTGTATATGCGTTGTCTAGCCCTGGGCAATCAATAGCAGGTTGTAACGTTCCGATCTCGGAGTAAAACATACTGAGACATCATCGTCACGGGTCTCGCCAACGTCGAGCACCCGCCAGCTCCGTTGCGGCGTCATTCTGCTTGCTTTTCACTACATCTCCGTGGTCTCATACGAGAAATCTTCTGGCCCTTCTAGGACAGCTTTACCTGCGTTGAATGGCGCGACATATAGTTGCTCGATGCTCGCTTACCGAAGGATGCAGGCCTTGATTGCTGGGGACTCGCAATCTTGTGAGTTATGTCTTAATCATTTATATTCCACTCATTCCGCGCATGAAATGAAGGGACTAATCCCGCGTAGACGTGGAACGAAAACAACATTCCGACTACTTTTGGATGCCGACGGTGTCTGCGTGGGCTTACGGCACAATTAGCACAGGCGCACTCGACAACACATACTTTCGAGTAGTAAGGACCTTGTTCAATCAAGCTGTTATGTCGCTCACTACCGGGCATCCAGAGCGCACTACTTGCCTACTCATTTGGCTGAAGTATCATGCGTCGTAAAATCTTATGAGATTTCAATGGTGCGACGCTCTGACGAATCAGCTACCTTGAACATACAGAATTTGCACCTTCATGCAATTTTGCCTTCAGTATGGCTCATTAGATTTTCAAAAGGGTACAGACGCTGGGAGCTACAGGCTGGCTGGCGGCTCACCGGAAACTTCAACCTTGCCTATCCGTGCAAAGACCACGTGATCGCGTCGTCTTCCTCGGCCTCTCCCGGTCTCGCTCGTCCATCCAGAAAACGAACAAGCACTGTCGTCGCCATCGTTCGTGGCGCCTTGACTCATTGAGCCCTCCCGGGTGTCACGCAAATTCGTCCTTGATGACCTTGGGCATTGCTTGTACCTCGTGAGCCCCCATTTTCTGCCATTTTCATTCTTGTCTTAGGCTGATAACCTATCCTCGCTTCAGGCCACGGTTGTGCGTCGCATGGCGCTGGAGATACAATGCGCTCACACGTGTGCAGCCGGCTAGCGGAGTCCAGATCTATATCTTGAACGCCTCGAGGCGCGCGCATGCTCCGAGCCTTCACCCGACCCCGTCGACGCTGCAACGACGGCAGCATCAACGACTGCAGCACCAACGACCAGACACGGTCAACATCGCAGCGTATGCTTGAAATGAATCACCGGTGATTGAACGAGGTTATCCAGCTTGGCACGATATACTACCCTCCATCGCCCGTGCGCCTTTGCGCGGTTCTCCACAACGCAAGTCAAGGCCGAACCGAGCTTGATTCCGCCTTTACAATGCCAAAGGATTGCCAGTACCCTTCTTTGACGGCTTTGCACGATCCCGAATGCGATGGATGGCCACAAAGCTCATTGCGTGCTATATAACCTGCCCTTCGCTGGGCGTCGTACCCTCACCACTTAACCTCACCTTTCTTAGCTCCATCGAGCACGCTCCAGTTTCCTCTTCGAACCGACTCACTACACCCTGTCCTCGCCTTCGAAAGTAGACATGACCTCAAACATCTGCCACGACGCGTCGAAGGATGTCTGCGACGCGGACGCTTCGAGCTCCTTGATGTATGCACTTCATTCGACGAGATTTTGACGGTCCCGCTGATACCTCTCTCAGAATCGACACCATTGACATGATGCAAGAAGTGGACCAGTTTGCGTCCTCTGACGATGAGCCCATCCATGGATCCTCGCGTATCAACGACGAGCAGGAGGAACATAGTTCTACGTGCGTTACTCCTCTTGATCCTCCTCCCCCCTTCAACCCCCGCGCATCTACAATGGAAGAGCTATCGTTCTCATGAGTATTGTGCAGATTTCCAGTCGTCGAACAAATGTTGGCTCCTGGTCGTTTCATACGGGAGGCACGAGTCCCTACCACGGAATCCTCGCGCAACAAAGACGAAGGCAAGCAAGCGCGTTCTTCCGATGAATACGACTCAGGGTAAGCCCATTACGCCGGTATCCCGCCCATTACAACCCGCCGACGTCTACTGTCACCAAGCAGCCTGGTCGAAAAGCATCGTCGGCGGGAATCCGAATGGCCCAATGACGCCAAAGGGTCGATCTCTGGCAGATCGAGGACGTCTCCCCTCCGTGGCCTCTCGATGCCGGGCGAAGGAGAAGGTCCTAGTCTCCCGTCCAGGTACGCGTACCCGTTTCGCTCCTACACGCGCAACTGCTAATCTTTACGGCAGTTTCCAGATGCCGCCCGTCTCGCGCCCAAGTTCGGTCAAAAGAGGTAGTCTTCTTGACATCCTCAACGGAGTTGCATCGGCGTCCTCCTCTGTATTCCCTGCTGAGCCATCCGGCATGATCTCTGGAAGTGGAACGCAGGACGAGGCACCTCCGCTGTTTCCCTTGGTTTTTCCGGTCTCTTCAGAGCGCCCCCGGTCCCGTGTCGCGAACGGCGGGAAACATGCAGCTCATAGACGCAGGACCGCGTCTGAGGCGTCTCCGCCGCCCGGGTATGCCTGCAGGCTCTGCAACGAGCAATGGACGTGTGTACCCCGCCTCACCTCAATGATCGGTCCACCTCCGGTCCCGGATATCAAGGTGCCCGCTTCGCCACCGATCGCGATCGAGCCGCAAGTTGCGCTGTCGAATGCGCGCTCTCAGATCAGTCGAGCTAGGCCGACGGAGGAGCAGCTATTGGCGCTCGGCGTACCGTGCGACCTCGTTAACCCGTACCGGTGCTGCGAGCAAGTCTTCGTCAACTTCTACGACGCGACCTCGCACGTCGCCGGGCATTCCGAAGCCGCCTGCGCCAAGGACAAGCCCTACTCGTGCATCTATCCGTCGTGCGAGTACCGCTCGTTCCAACCCGTGCATATCGCCCAGCATTTCCTGTCCGACGTCCACTTCGGAGCGAAGGTCGCCTGCCCCGGATGCGGTCTGCAGTTCGCGCGTCCGGCCACGATGTTGCATCATTTGTCCCAGATCAAGAAGAGGGACGGCTCTTTGGAGCAGCATTTCGCTCACTGAACAACCGTTCAGGTGAATACACGGCGCTAAGCGCGCTGCGCCCACGTTCAAATTTCAATCATTAACATACAGGATATCACTTGACCACTATCTACTGACCGTGCTCGACGGCGCTTATGCATATCTTGCCCGTCCTCGTCGCTCCTTAAATTATCCACCATCCGCACGCTCCTTTTCTGGACCATTTTCTTCGTACAACACCTCTCGACCGCTCATCGCAACGCTCGTGCCTACATGTTGCGTTACTATATGACACCTTCACTTCGTCAACCCCGTCGAATCGTCACTTTGCTACATCTCAGTAACCGCTGCACGGTTTGGTCTCAGAATTTGACTGAGTCATTTATGAATGTATCCAAGTGTATTGCACAGGTTTTTATTCACCAGAAAGTCTCCAATAACGAGGAGGAGGACTGTGTGCATTGTAACGCTGCGTGATGGTTAGCCGAGCGGAGTTTAAAGAAGGTATTCATTGATCAACGGGTGTTGTAAGGCCAGTCAGATTCGAAGCACCAAAGTGCTTGATAACGAAGTCGGCTATCAATGTGACCGGCCTGTGACTGACGATTCGACGGGGTTGACGAAGTGAAGGTGTCATATAGTATGCCCTCAGCCACGGTCTTGGGTATTTGCTTCCTGTCGTCGGTCCTTATCTATCTTTCTCTTATTCCTGCTAATGAATGTACTCAAATCATGTACCTTATCTTCCCCCTGTACATTTCACTGCAGCAATCTTCTCGCTGTTGTGTCTGTAATACCTCAAACTTCAGCAATCGAACGCAAATTTTACCCGCAGGAGCGCACAGCCAGAGCTAAATTTAGTACTGAGGATTATGTAGTAAGCGGTGCGGACGAGAGATCGCCGGAGTTTTTTCTCTTCGGACGACGACGACAAGAGCCCAAATAGCCACGGTCCACGGGCCCACGGAAGATAAACTGTGCATCTCCATGGCGTACAAACGTTGTGCTATGGTGCATCCATATGCTGACGGCGGCTGGGCGCCAACACCCCCGGGATTGACGATATACCTGTAAGGAGACTTACAGTCACTTACTGAGACGAGACAGTCGGGACCAAATGCCGCCTCCGAGTCCACCTGTCTCACTCACGATCGCGGTCCGCGTTCGGGAGCTATGACTTGCTGGATGAATCCTCGCTTCATCCTTCACGGTGTCTCAGACTCTCTTGACTTGAACTAGACGCGTCGCGCTATAGCGATGGTCGACTTCCTCCACCTCGCCGCACCATCGTACAAATTCTAACCTGCATTCTTCCAGTTGGGACGCTCATTGCTTGCCGAGTATCTCGTACAAACTCGACTACACCTGCTTATGGTGCCTTCGTCTCTTCATCTCCGCCGGATGTGCTTCCGAAACTCTGGCTCCGAGCAGGTTCGCCAGCATATCGACGCTGAAAACCCGCCTTGTCAGTCGATCATATCTCTGTCCCATTTCATGTCTCCACATATTATTTCGTGTGGCCCTTTCACGCGGTTCATAGGAACCTGCGAGCGGTGTGGCCTGAGGGCGTGAGGCATCGCGACTTCATTCACACAGTTCTTTTCAACCCTTTCTCCCCCCCCCCTCTCGCTGTACGGGCGCCTCTGTCCCTTACGGTTTTCCCATACTGGAGTAACGGAGCGGGCAGCTGGAACCTTCATTAAAGTGTCCTGCTCGACGTTATGCTTCTTCCCGCTGGATTGAGCTCCTTTGGGACATAATTTCTCGCAGTCCGTCTTGTCCAATCACTACGCTCCGCTTGCTATCCCATCCACTTTGACATTGCCATGGGAGATCTGACAAGCCTGGGTATCCTCTTTCGAGATATCTATACCTTATGGACCTGCAAGTCGACCCTTTTGCTTGTGTCTTTAGCTGGTCGGAGTGCTACAGATGTTACGGGGCGAGACTATCAACGTCTGAAATGGCGATGGTGCGTGTTCCTTCTTCGTCACTCGTTGGAGCATGCCTGATGTCGTTGTTCCGGTGGCTTTTCTTATGTGCTCTTCCACATCGCACACGCTCTCACTGATGAGCCCATATGATGATTATCAAGTGACCTGCTACCTGCAAAAACTGCCGTATCGACATAACCCGACTCATCGATATTGACAGACATATTTCTGGGGATGGATCAAATCCAGTAAGGTAGGGCTCATGCAAACTGTGGGAGATCACGTGGCCACTTTTGCGGGGATACGGCCGTCTCAGTCTCATTCCGGCTACATAACACATTTTTGCAGGAATCCAAATGCATGGGAATCTTGCCCGGCTGTTTTCCTAGAACTCTATGCTGACCGAATCATGGCCAAGGTGCTAAGAAATGTGTAATGAAGTGTGTAGTCACCCCTTATCGTGGGAACTCAATGAAATCCAGCGCTGTGATTGGTCGCGTTGCTGTCTGGGATGCGCCAACCCCCCTCAGGACGCCACAGATTTGAGCATGTGATCTCCTACAGTTTGCATGAGCCCTACCTTACGTGTTATGGACTGGATGTTGTATCCAGTACGTCGAAGGGGCTCCATAGACCCTTGAACTTCTTGCCCAAGCTGACGCGTCGCCATCACGTGCATATACAAAGCTCTCACGTGTCACCGACGCGACCTTCGCATTCCGGCCTGGCAGCAGTCCAGGGCCAACGGGGGTTACGATAGTATGCAGCCCTCGTATACACTACAATGATACCGTACAGATTGCTAGACTTGACTAAGCTGTCTGAATCCTTTGTGAACAGGTGCGGCGAGCCGCTCACCTCGGCTCGCTCAATATCAATTATCGGCAATCACCGGCAACATTCTCGAGCCTGTGGGGGCGGCGATCCCTCGGCGTTGTGCTTTCTTCCCTCTGTCTGTTCGTCCACGCCGTCAGGAATATCTCCTACTGCCCTGAAAGTCGTATATCTCTGCGAGGATGGTCGATCTCGAGCAGGAATGGTCGCTAGCAAGGCCGTCGCAACGGAAAAACGTGGTCGGGCCACCGAGGTACGCCTGGCGCGCCGCTCCTTCGACTTGCTTTCACCTCTTGTTAACCTGCAACCTCCACTAGCCTCCAACTCAAACAACTTCTTTCGAGCCTTTGACGCGCCTTTAAGAGATCTATCACTCAACTATACGCGACGATAACAAACTCTATCTATCACTAACTATCACTCGCCACACTTGCGTTTGCTTTGACATGATCGGACAAGAGTACGAATCTTTTTACTCTCCTTACCCCCCTCTCCCGCTCTTCTAATATCATTCCTAGAAACTGTACATCCCAAATATCCCCTCGTAATCAACCTTGGCGACAGCCACCCCCGGCCTCGATATCTAGCACATCCACGGTTATTGGATCTACGGGTGCGGATGTTGGGTCGCAGCTCCTAGATATAGGGTCGAGGTGAGTAAACTTGTCTTTTATCGTCGCGCGAACGCGTCGTGACGCGTTTCGCAGTTCGTCTCTCTATCCTCAAGCTCGCCTCGGAGGGTCGCAGACTCATGAAGAGCTCGGCGATAGTGGTCTTCACGGGTGCGCGATGATGATGGCTTATCTCTACGATCTGTTCCAGACATATTTTCTTTCAGATTTTACGCTCAGCAGCCAACCGCGAGCCTTGACCCAGACTTCGGCAGCCGGATGCCTGCACTGCCTGCGGCTAACGGAGGCGTTGCTGACATCCATGCTGATGGCTTACGCGACCCCTTCATCGACCTTTCGAATACTTCTAACCATCCGTGGCTTGTATCGAACGCCGAAGATCAGGCCATGAAGCCTCTCGCGGGGTCCGCCGTCGGGGGATGGCTGCACGAACGCCGGGCCGTTTCGTATCTTCCATCGTATTCAACGGATAGAATAGAAATGGCCCCATCGTCGAGTGGGCTCGTGCATGCTGATGAGAGCCGTGCATCGGAGCTATCCGTGCTCAGCACTCCGTCGTATCCGCAGAACTCCGATCACATTCATATGCCGTCAGATTTGCACGAACATCCCCTTGACCATTCGGCTCTTCCGGGGCCACAGGTCGGGCACTCCATCGGTGATCGTACGGTCCTCACTGACCCGTCGACCGGGAACCAGTTCAATACGATCCAATGGCTTCAAAATTTGCTTGAACACTGCCATAGGCAGCAGACATCCGATCCATCCACGTCCTCTCCTCCGACAGAGAGCGCTGCACTTATCGCCGCGATAACGATTCGCGGTCTGAGGATGTGGCCTCCCGCGGCACCAGTCGACGAAGCCTACATCCAACGCTTGCAGGACATAGTCGACGCGTACGAGCGGTCTCTAGATGTTCAACCCGCGCCCCAGCCCCTCGCAGGACCCCTTGCCGATGTTCCTGTTGCCATTCGAGACGAGGATCCATTCTCGTTCCTTGCTGATGAGGATTGGCAGGGACAGGATACGGCGCGGACGCCTCAGGGGGCTTCATCTCCCAATACTGCGGGGATGATACCTGGAGGGACGCGGCCTATAGAGGGAAACGATGCCGACCCGTACACGGATCTCTTCTCATGGCTTAATGCACAGCCTTGGTACTCTGCAGATACAGCGGCGTCGGAGGAGACCTTAGGATCTCTACTCGAGGAAATAGGAAGAGATTCGAAGGAAGATCTCTTCTCCACCGCTGCCGCTCAAATAGGTGCGGAGCCGTCTTTACAAGCCTCGCTCAATCCGTTTGCCGCCTCGTTCCCTGATTTGGACTTGTCGTCCATGTCTTCCCCTGCCAATTTTTATCTGCCCAACGGTTGGGAAGCGGAACACGGGCGGGACATCTTCCCGGATGTCCCTGATCTTCAACCTTCGGTTTCCGATTTCGATCGTTTCTCAATTGACTTGTCCTACGGGACGTCTCAGGGTCTTGATGCTCCATCTTCAGGTTCTTCTTCGTCTGCCCCGCAGGGTGCAGTCTTCAATTTCGATGCCTTTGAAGTGATTGCCCCGATTGGGGTGGGCCATGGTCTTGACACTTCCTTGTCTGAGCAACCGTATGCGGCTCTCGATCTGGGCGGCGATATGGAGGTGGACTCTCCCATCGGGGCGGACTATGATGCTCACGCTTCACTCTTCGGTTCTTCCCCGCCGGAGCCGCAGCCCGGAGTCTTTCATATCGATGGTTTCGAGGTGATCAGCGCGCCGAACGTGACGGATCGCGCTTCTCGCGGTTCATCGTTAGCTTTCCCGTCTAAGCAGCAGACCCGTCACCGGTTACCCGACAGGCGCGAGGATTCGGCGAGCACGCCTTCCTCTGCATTGTCCGGCCCCGCGCGATCCGCTTCATCTTCAAGAACTGTTCCGTCTGAGCAGCATCAATCTTCTCAGTCGTCCAGTGGACGCGAGGCTTCGTCAAGCACCGCGTCTACGCCGTCCGTGCCCGGATGGCCGAGCTCGGCGACGGATATCTTACTTGATATGCAGAACTGCGTCAGACCCAGTAAAGACATCAGCGCCGAGTGCATCTACGCGGGATGCACGGTCGTCGTCACCGGCTGGACGGAAAGTAGGAATCACATCCGAGAACATGTGCTCGAGAAGTACGGCGCGAAGGGCGACAAGAAGTTCGCGGCCAACAAGATGCCTAAGGAGCTTGAATGCGATTTTTGCGATTACGTAGCCTCGAACACCTCGCACATGATCAGTCATATCATCGGTTTGCAGCATATGTGTATTGTGCCGCAGTGCAAGACCTGTGGCAGGTACTTTCACAACGAGGACGCGGTCTACACTCACCACCAGAAGAAGCACCAGAAAACAGACAAGAAAGCACGTAAATGACCGCGCCCGCGGCTCGTGGTGTACTAATCCGCTAATTTTGAGACCGTGGTCGTACCTCAGTCATTAATACTCAATCAATGTAGCTCGCGTATTGTGTGTAAGACGTGTCGTAGGTAGTAATGTATGTAGACAAGGCAGTAATGTATGTAGACAACGATAACACGATATACAGTTCAAGCCAACACGATGACTGATGGCCGTGCGCTACTGAATATGCAAAAGCGCTAGGCTGGCGCTCATTGCATATTCAGTCGCGTCGCTAGAGTATGGTCCAGATATATCCTTATGTCTGATATGTAACTTTGGTCCTAGCTCACCATCCACGGGATGTCAAAACTGGACGCATTTCTCACGACTGCGTCGACTTGGTCTTCTCCTTTCCTCTCGGGAGCCGCCGTTTAAGCCATCCATTGCCCCTTTCGTGCCCCGTACTCACAGATAATGGAGCAGGACATAAAATTCTCAATGGCCATTGGCGTAGACGTGCATTGGTGTGGCCCTTCCCGGGATGAACAATGCTCTCGCTGTATTGTGATTTCTGTCACCCGATCATCTCAATCTTTCGCTCTCGCTCCGTTCGCGCGCTTCCCCTTGGGTTCCGACATTCTTACCAATGATCAAAACTACTGGATTTTGCTCTGATGGATACATCCATGTCTTACTCAACACACACGTCAGATAATGATTGTCCAGTTCGTTGTCTCGCTGACGCTCGTTGCCGAGCCTAAGTTGACCCTCAGCGTCAGAGGCTCATGCACCCGCAATATCCGCACAGATAAAATTCAACCGCCATTCCTAACGCTCTGTTCTCGCTGTGCACTCTCGCCGAACCCCGGTGCATTCTCAGACCCTCATGATTCGTCAATATCCTTTAACGGTACCCCACGTGCAAATGGACCGACGGTCGAGGACGCCACAGGCAACTTCATGAACATAGCGAATGCCCCTATTCAGTATGTTTTCCCCCTCGTCGAGTCGTCTCCCAGTTTCGCCGAAGTTGAGATTCCCCCAGAAGTTCCCCCGCCTCGTCGGATGGAATACGCGGTCACGTGGATGAGACGTGACCGCGTCACAGGCCGTCGCTGCGCCCCTTGGCCTCGGCCGATGCACGCCGCACGCCGGTGCGAGGCGCAAGCGCCCGTCGACGACGGTATCCACTGTCGATGAGGTTCTACAACAAGTTGGGCAGTACTTGGCCTGTTTATATATATATATATATAAGCCGACCACCTGGGCGTGCTTGCGAAATTCCTTGCAAACTTGGGGCGTAAGTACATAACCGTGCATCAAGTATCGGCAATCACCGACGGCAGCTACGAGAACAGCGATAGCCCGTCTTCCGACCGTACTTATTCGTCGCTTCCTCCTCGTTCACATCGTCCGACTGCCGTCCTCAAGTCTTTCCCTACGTACAACACCCAAGCACGGTCGATTTCGAGCAAGAACGGTTTCTAATTCAAGACCATCGCAGTTGGAAAGCGTGGTTGGCCCTCGTGCCATGCCTTTCGCTCACTTCACCTCTCGTTTACCTACAACTTTCACCAGTCCTGAGCGCGTCTATATTTTTTCCAATTAATCACCCTCTCAAGCTATACATCCTCCTCCAAGCAAGAAATTGTGATTATCTACCTACACACTCGCAGACTCATAATCTCGTGTCTTCGCAATCATCGGACACGGGTAACCATTGTATTCTTCCCTATGTTTCTATTCCCTTATCACGGTCATCCGCAGAGATCGTACATAGCAAGGATCTCCTCAAAAACATGCGGGGCGGCAACTTCCCCCGTCTTCGGTTCCTCGCGCCACACTCAATGGTGACACTTTTTCAGGCGTTGGGACAAAGAATGATAGGCCGTCGGACTTCATATCGAGGTAATGAAACACGTCAGAGTTTCCATAGAAAGTGTTTCGACGTGTTTTCTTTCAGCTTGTCTCTGAATCGTCATCGTCTTCAAGTGGAAGGGGAAGTAACCCATGACAAGTTCGAGGCTGGTGATTTCGGGTGCGCAATCGTGTCTCTCTCTACAGCTATTGGTTTATGACCATGCTCTCTTTCAGGCCGCGTTCCCAGCCTGCCAGCTCCGTGATTGAATTGACCCGCACTGGTCGTTCTGCGGAGGCCTTCGGCGTTCGAGGCGCCGAACAGCACTCGTACAACGCTCCTGCAACGACCGCGAACACAGTACTAGTGCCGGGGTCAACGGCTGATAACCAGTTCTCGTCGCCTTCCGCACCGCCTCAATCTCGTGGAGGGTTGCCCGCCGTTCCTCCTACTGCGAACGAAGAGGCTGTCGCCGCCGCAAGCATCCTGAAGCACTTATCACAGTTGCCTCGCTTGCGGTCTCGTGATGAGGGATATCTACAAAGGCTGGAGCGCGTAATGGCTGTATATGATCCGGACATGCCGGAGTCGTCTTCGATTTGCTCAAGCCACGCTGTTCGTTCCCATGCCAGCCCCTCACCGTCCATTAACCCATCCAAACCAATTACCGTTCGGGCGACTCAAGGGCCTACTCATGATCCGGGTCCGAATAACCACGTATTGCTGCCCGTGGATAGATCTCATGCAGCACTGCAGAATGACTCGGCTGAAGGCCAGTTGCAGCTGTCTAAGGGCACATGAATTCCGGATTTCCACGACATATCGTCTTTTGCGAACCGTCAGGTGGCGTCTAGCAACGATACTTTCCTGGCTGGTGCCCGAGAGCCGCGCGCAAACGTTGAACTTGTCTTACAGTCATCGCGTTCCGATGCGAACTTGCTCACCTCGTATCCGGATTCTTCCCATCTCTCGCTCCCTTGAGATCAGACAGATTCATATGCATTCAACTATGTTTATCCTCTGCCATCCCCGTCTGCGCCGCCCGTAGTGGGCTCTCTCGAAGACCTGTTCCTATCTTATGGCTACGCAAGCTCGTATGCTGTCAGCGAAACGCCCTGGTCATCGGACTCCGAAGGAGATGATTCTGAGCCGGCCCATCTGTTGCTTTCGACTCATCCACCCTCCAGGGTATGACACCATGATCAACTCCACCAGATCGCCGACGCCGCCCCCGAATCGGCCGATCCCGAGGGAGTTTACCTTGGTCTGTCTCATCAGGTTGATGATGTAGCTTTTGAATTATCCAGCCTTGCTTCCTCCTCGCATGAGACGCCTCCCGCGCAGCTGTTCGACGAGCGCGAGGCTCACAACTGTGTCCGTGCTTCCTCGCAGCCCGTTCCTCCGTTGGCGCTCCGCCCGACATTTGGGACTGCGTCGTACACCAGGAGGAGGTCACCTCGCCTTGCGTATACGAGGGGTGCGACGTTGTTCTGACAGGCCGAAATGCGTGCACGGGAGCACCCTGATCTCCTTCGTTATTAGAGAGCAAACAGCGCGAGCAGTACAGATATGTCATAAAAATTAGATCAGTCAGGTTTCTGTGGAGCCTGCGTGCGTTGCTTCATTCGTCATCTTTGACACCTCAAGAAACGCCTGCATTAGCGCAGGCACGATGAACGGCGTGGAACACTCCGATGTCACGTCGTTCATGCTCGATTCCAAATGCAACCGCATGCAACTCTCTCTCTCCAGCGCTTGTTCGATTTCTCGACGGCGCTGAATCTCGTGCTGCAAAGCACGCTCAAGAGCATCGCATCTTGCGGAGACATCGTCCGCGCGGACCGTGGCTTCTCGAGAGGCGGACAGGGCAGCGTCCTTAGCAGATTGTTCGGCAAGCATTGCAGCCTCTGAGGTCCGTAACGATTGCTGCAAATCTGCGATTGTCTGACGCTGTCGCGTCTCATTGTCTGTGACACGCAGAATCTGGTTCTTCAAACAGTTGGACGCAAGGACGAGCGCGTCATCTCCAAACATGTCAGACGTCGCGAGCACGAGTGATGATGGCTTCTGAGTATCATCTAGGATCCCAGGCAGGAGAGACCGTGCGTTTTCGACCGCCTCCATGGCAACGCTGAGGATTGAGACACGTTCGGCTGCACATGCTTGGTGGCGCGCCTGATGTTCCTCGGCCTGGAGCGCTAGCTTGCGTTCTGCCCGCTCCTCAGCTTGCGCGAGTATCGCACGTGTACGCGCATGCTCTCGTTCCTCTCGGTCGAGGGCAACCATGGCTCGTTTGAGGCCGATGGAGACGTCCTCGCAAAGCGCGAGAGAGCAGCCGAGCTGCGAGGTAACGGACTTGCAAAGTGCCACGGAGCGTACGAGCTTCTCCCGATCTTGTTTCATACGCGTCTCGTGTGTCATGACTTCCGACTGGAGCGCGTCGCATCGGCGCACCAGTTCTCGGTGTTCCTCCATCAGCGCCTGAACGCGATCGCCGCTCTCCACATTATCAGGTCCGAATACGTGACGTATCGCGCCTGCATCCACGTCCATATGAACGTTCGGCGCACCCCCACGTCGTGCCATCATTTCTCCATTGGCTTGCTTCCCCGAAGTAGCGGATATCGCAGTACTCCCATCTTCGGATGAATCGAATGGAGTGGAACGCGATGCAGCTCCACCTCTGAGAAGGACTCGGGGCTTGCCCGCCCGCCGAAGACGCATAGACGCACGCCCAGCTCGGGAAGGCAAAAGCTTCCGAAAGTCGATGGCAGGGCATGGCGATAGCTTTCGGCGCTTGTTCACTCTCTCCGATGAGGTTCCTCCTTCCTCAAAGGGGGAAGGGCCGGCTGATGACAGATCGTCCTCGATATTAGCGCCATAGCCCGGTACTCATGTACAGCGAACTCACCGATCTCAGAAGAGGGGCGTTTCGAGAAACCAGGCTTCTCAGGAGGTTCCCGGGGAACAAGTGGTGAGGTTGTGCCAGAATCGGTCCCACATTCGTGCAGGGGAAAGGGTCCCGGTAGCGTCGACGTGATTGATGGGGTGTCTCCGAACCTCGCGGGCAACAGCAAACTCTCGACAGGAGCATAACGTTGGTTCACTATACCATCTGATGGGGTCGGCGGGGAAGTTTCCGGAGGAGAACCAGGCGAAGAGTCCATGGCCGGCACGTACGATGATTCCTTATTAGACACGTCATGATCCGTTCCCACATTTGGTCCCTCCGCGGGCGGTAGCGGGGTAGGGGGGGTGGGGGCTGGGGTTGCAGCCGCACTGCAATGCGTCGACCCTGACTCTGCGCCTGAGACCGAATGGGGTGTCGCGACAGAATGGGACGCGGCTGTAAGGTGCGGGGACGATGAGTGGGAACGGGCTTCTGCCCATCCTAGGAGTGATGACGGCCTGTGAGTTACGATTCGATGATCGCTACGAGGAAGAGGCGCTGTGGGTTCCGGTGTCGCATCAGTCGATGCTCGATGTGCACCAGTCGAGCTTGGCGCGGCGGGACTGGCGACGAGCTCAGGGGATGGCTCAGCGGGAGCAACCGCGGCAAACGGCAAAACCGAACATGTGTCGTGCTGAGATGACAAAGTTCTGTGAGCATTTGCTGGAGTGATGGGAGTCCCTAGCGACAACGGGGTTGCAGAAGATATAATCCTGCTGCTGCTACTGCTGGACGGACCTTGAGTGACTCGGAGATCCGTGGTGGGAACGTGGGCAGCAATCGTCGATGTGCAGGTATCAAGTCCTGACGCCGGTTCGCTGGTAAAAGCACCCGTATTGCATGATGGGGCAGAAGTAAGTGATGATGTCGCAGCGTCATGACTGACTGGTATAATCAGATGTCCCGTCAAATTGGCTTCGGACCGCGGATCAGAGGGGGGGATAGATGAAATTGACGTGACATCGTCCGAAGAAGTGGAAGTAACACCCAAGGCGAGAACGGGCCGTTGCGACGACGCGTGCGCTGGGGTGGCAGAAAATGCCGTGGCGTCGTCTACCACTTCCCCTGATAAGGCCTGAGACAGCACTCGGGCTGTCGGGGAATCGTCTGGAATGGCCATCGAGAAATCGACGAGTGGGTACGAAGCCGTGTTCGGTCCTCGCTCCTTTTTTGATGTCGCGGTGGATCTGGAAAGCAGCCCCGTTCCAGCCTCTGCAGTAGACACAACCGGCTGAAGGTCTGGCGCATCTATCCCCTCGTCAGGTTTGGAACCTTTGCCCGATTCTTCATGGGGCCCGATCGATGACTCGTCGGTTGATGCCGAAGCGATTGGGGGAGAACAAGGGATGGAGGGTGCGTGCGAGGCCCTCTTCGAGGACGGTTGCGCCTCAGAGAGCAACAACCCTGGCTCCGGCTTTGTGGTAATGCCTAGCTTGGCCGAGGCGCATGGAGCCACAGGAGCGGGACGCAGCGGCAGAGGCTTTAACGCGTGCTCCGAGGGACCACAGATCAGATGCGGCGCTGTGATCGTGTGAATCGTCACAGGCGAAGTCTTGGATATTGAAGATCGATCTTGAATAGAAAGCGATGTGGGAATAGAAGACGAGGGAGCAGGAGTAGGCGACGAAAGGGATGCCGCCGGCGGTTGTCTTACGACCAGCTCCAAACGTGATACTGGATCAGGTAGCGCTGGCGACCTTTCTGACACTGTCGAATAGGGCGAAGCTGGAGCAAGATTTGATGTCGTGACCGGGATGGGAGGTGACAAAGCGGCGACACGCTGAGATCGCGGCCCATCCGCGGGGGACTGAGTATCGGGCCTTTCCTGGCACGGAGCATAGGTTTTCGTGTGGTTCGGCGCTCCCCATTCGGCCGGGGTTGCACTGGTCCTGGGCGCTTGAGGCCCGGGGGTGGAAGTCTCACTGGACGTTTCCAGGGTGCCGTGGGACGAGTTGAAGTTCGTCTGAGTGACGTCTCGCGTTCCCTTCGATGTGAGGGGTGGGGGAATGTTGGAGACGTGAGCGTTGATCGAATGCCCAGTGGTTCCGTAAGGACTCGAGAATACGTCGGTCGTACTTGACACTATGCTGCAAGCGTGTTGGTCAGCCCACTTGGTAAATACGGTGGGTGATCCGGAGGCGCACCGGTATAGAATGCGGGTTCTTCACAGAAAAAAGGGGTTATAGAGGGCCGTTCAAGCCATGCACGCGCTATATATACTCACATCGATCGTTGCAACATCACGTTCTTACTTGCTCCGACTATCTTCGGGCAGACAGACGTCACGATGGTCTGAAGAAGAAAGGAAGAACGGGCTAAGAAGTCGTCGAATAGTGGGAGTGGGCGAAGCAAGACGCACCTCGGATAGCGACCACGAAAACAAAGCCGCACCCGCATCGCCGACCTCGCTGAGACGGACGGACATCGTAGGCGGGTGCGGGATTCCGCCCAACGCATCAAGGTCCTCACATATCGCGTTGTGCTGCACCCACGCGTCTAGTGTCCGGAGATGTCGGAACCGGGCAGGGGTGTACGTGATGCCGACCACGAACGTCCCTCTCGACGCTGCCATCGTCTGCATCACTCGGTGAGATCAGGTTCAGTAGCCAAGCCTCAGGGAACAATGGTCTCTGAAAGAGACAGCGTGTAGAAAGTTGCATGAATTTCGCAGGACATAGCGCCCGTGTTGGTAGAATCTCGCGGCTCTAGCGCGCCACCAATTGCAAGGCCACCTCAGTCACCCACTTGGAGTGACTATATTGGGTGGAATTTGCCTGTCACTAATTCCATCTAACATGGTGATGAACTTCTGGATCTGAAGGCAAGAGCGATAATTCCCTAATATATGATCCTCAGTCAAGTATAAGGGAAAAGACTGAGTTACGCATGTAGTACCTAATATATGACTACAGAGGCATCATAAGTACGTTAGGACATAAGGGACATGAAGGGACATGGCAGACTCACTCCTCAGTCAAGTATAAAAGACTGAGGAGATGCGGAGGGAGAGCTCCTGGTATATGTGAGGGAGCTCGAGGGAAGCATTTCCATAAAGGGAACAAAAGAATGTGCCTAAAGCGGTAATATCAATCAGGAAAGATAGAAGATCGCAAAGAAGAACACAAGAATAGAACATGTGAGAGAATATGTACATAATAGGTAACGAGCGTGTGATATTTCCATATATATACGATATACAAAGTTCAACA